TCCCCTCCCCAACACCTTTTATAAGGAGGAAAAACTCCAAAACTGTAATCAATTATAATATCTTCTAAAACTTCCCATTTAAACTAGCAGGACAATGGTAATTTTGTAGGAGACAAGCGAGTGCATACGTCCACGACACCAGGAAAGACGTTAACTTATTCAATGCGATGAGCTGCACATCACGGCTCTACAAATACTCAGTCTCCTCTTCTCTTAAATCTTTAGACTCACATAGTGGTTGGGTGGCGGGTGCTCTCGAGTGGTTTGAGCCTTTTTACCTATCAAACATCTATCTTCCTTATCTCTCTTCTTTCTTTTCTTTTTCGTGTTACTCTCTAGTAACACCTCTAATCTTTGGCATGATCTATTTGTGTTTTGAGTGCGGTTTAATTCTTACTGAAAACTAAAGACCAACACATACTACTATTTCATGTTCTGGTTTGTTGTTGTTGTTGTTTTTCGGTTAAATGTCTAATAGGAAACTCAATTCTGTGCATGTAACTGTACATTCCACTTGAATTTTCTCACAAAAATATACATGAAATCATTTTATTTCTGATGTCAGTCATAAAGGGAAAATGACCACCAAACCGACTGGGTCATAATGAGGAATAATATGGTTCGGGAAAAAAGAGTTAAAGATCACCCTGCCTCGTTCTACAGATCATAATCTATCATAGTCTGGCCACTTAAAAGATTAAAACGTCTACAAAATGATGAATTATGTAGCTATAAAAGATTAAAACGTTCACAAAATGATGAGTTGTGTAGGTGCTCAAATGTGACAGCTGATACCACCTGAAAAGAAGACAAATACGTGCCATTTTCTTAGTTCCAAATTTATTTTCCAATATTATGTGTACTTTGCATGAGTAATTCATTATCTTAGAAGATTTTCTATCTTCACCCACCTCCAAAATTAATAGAAAAGTTTGCACTGATCTGAGTAAACCTGCAACAAAAACGGGTTTTTCCTAATCTCGACTTGCACCAGAATGCATTCCTTTCCCCTTACGAAACGCAGGCCTCTTTTCTCAATTACTTCTTCCTCTTAGTAATCTTAGGCTTAATCGAGCCTCTGATGTTCTGAAGGAAAGAGTGCGAGCAAATATGATTCAAATTACGAAAGGGATGGTGACTGATGGCTTCAAGAGAGCGGTAACTGGGACAAATAATTAACTGCTGACGTTATAGCGGCTTGGATCCCTTCTCGGTCAAGGATTCTGCGAAGGTTTGATTAAAGTAGTTTTTGTAATGTCTGACGAGGAGATACCGTCAATGTGGCAACATAAAAATGCAGTTGTGAGTTTTTATAGCTGTCGTAAATTATAGATTCAGCATAAAAATGAATCGTTATCGGCAGCGAATGCAACAGCAAGAAAAATAGCAATTGTAGGAATTATATTATCATCAAAAGCAGCATCGGTAACAGCAGAGACAACTACAACTGTAATGGAAACATCTTGAACAACAACAACAACAACAACAACAACAACAACAACAAACAGAGCAACAACAACCTTTCTTTTCCCCACAGAACAAAAAACAACAACACAAAAACAACAAAAATCACAACAACAACAACAACAGCAACAACAACAACAACATCCACAACAAACACAACAACAACCTCTCTTTCCTCACAGAACAAAAATAACGACACAAAAAACAAACACAACAACAACAACAACAACAACACCCACAGCACCCACAACAACAAACAACAACAACAACAACAATCTCATTTTCCCTTTCCCCCACAGAACAAAAACAACAGCAACAACAGCAACAACAACAACAACAACAAAACAAAAAACCCAATCCCCTAACACGTACGCATCACGTACAGCGACCATGTTCTTCACCCAAGTCCTGCTGTTGCTCTGGAAGAACTTCATCCTCCACTTCCGGAAGCCGCTGATGACCTTCCTGGAATGTCTCCTGCCGACTCTCTTCGCCTTCGTCATCCTCACGCTGCGTTTCACCTCGGAGAAGGAGACCAAGGCGGCCATAGACTACCCGGTCATGCCCGAGAGAGGGCGGCTCTCTGTTCTCGGCTTTCTGCCGGAGAGTCCGGCAACGACTGACGTCATCCGGAGAGCGCTGGACATACACTACGAGGGCAGGACGCCACCTGGTGAGTGAGCAGTGCTTGTATTCTCTCTCTCTCTCTCTCTCTCTCTCTCTCTCTCTCTCTCTCTCTCTCTCTCTCTCTCTTGCTCTTTTTAACTCCCAATAGAGCATAGGCCATCAACAACATTTCTCCTGCAAAGCCTGTCCTGTGCATCCTTTGCTAGCTGTTTCCATGATGTCACTGCCTTTTCCATTTCCGCCTGTACCGCTCGCCTCCATGTCGGCTTTGGTCTTCATTTCTTACGTTTTCCTTGTAAATTCCACGTCAAAGCCTGTCTGATGATGCTTGTCGGGGGTCTCCTCAGAGTGTGCCCAATCCATTTCCATTTCTTCAACGGTATGTCTTCCTTTATTGGCCTTTGGCTTGCTCTTTCCCACAGTTGAGCATTTTTGACTCGATCGTACCACTTGATCCCAACTATCCTTCTTAGACATCCATTTATGAAGTTCTGCAGTTTGGTGCTTGGACACTGGTGGTATTTTGTTGGGCAGAGATATGAAAATGTAG